CCCTTTCCCCAATTTCTGACGACACACGTCGAACTCCAGTTTGTCACTTTTAAGGACAAGCGGGCTAGCCCAGATTTCGGGGGTTTCCAGAAATCTTGACCTACACCAAAAGTGGGCATTACCTATCTATAGGAGAGGTTTGGTTTCATTGGTATGTATACTTGTTTGGTTATAGAGAAACCTCTCCTTGACTTTCAAAGAAACTGAACAAGGGCAAAAACTTTACCTTCGATTTTCTCAAAACGACATTTTTCGCAATAGCCCCCTCGTGCTTAAAAGCGACCAGTTCAAAACAGACCACAGCGGGTGATAATTCGGGGAGATTTAAGTACAATAAACTCCCCCGAGGCTACAGTACATGCAAAGGAACACAATTTGAAGACGTTTAGCTTCCTTGCCCCTCCGTGTTCGTGCCAATCAGACGACAGCAAAAGCAAAAGATGTTGTTCTTTTGTTGTTGTTGTTGTTGTTTTTAAATTAGTGGTTTACGGCGCTTGCAACTGCATAAGGTCAAATTGAGCGCGCGGAATACATTAAACTATGATTAAACAATTTCAGTTTGTTGGAAATTATGGATTTTTCCCGGGAGGCAAAAGAGTTTACTTTTAAAATAAGAGTTTCATGGCACTTGCAACAAGATATTATGGGCAATTAGAGCCGAAGATTGAAGGCATAACAAAAGAGTGACATACGCAAAAAAGGAGTAGAGAGGAGGACAGTAGACATATATTGATAGAAAAGAAGGAGCAAACTACTCCAGAGCACCCGCCAACCAATCACACAGCAAAAGAGCAAAGCGTCGTTCTACATTATGCTAGGGAACTATAAAACGTTCCCGTTTGTAACACGTCCGTGTATGGCAAGTGAAGCACACGGACTCTGGGCTCGCACTTACTTATAATCTTGCCAAAGCCTTAAGCAAATAGCGCAACAGGCCGTAACCCAAGGTCACCACTGTTGGAGTCAATACTTTAGATAAGACACCTCGTCTGCGTTAAGCACTAATAAAGTGAGGTGTGAATGAAGTGCAAATATGCTCGTTGTCATATCAAAGCTGTTTTTAAAAAAAATCTCGCAGCGAGGGAACAATAAATTTGCTTAATCTCACTAAAAGTAGGTTAACAAATAAAGAAATAAGTGTATTAGTAAGTAAACAAATAAACATGACGTTTCCAGTCATGACGGACAAGTTCCCGACCATAAAAAATCAACTAAAAACAATCTGAACTTCCAGTAAATGACCTCTAATCTATTCGATAAGGCTTCAGTAAGTGTTTTACGGCACTTTCAACACAATAAGGTCACACAAGTGCCGGAGATTAGAGGTGCTGTAAGAGAGTAACAAACACAAAAGAAAGACAGGAGATAAGGACGATAGATGATCGACAGTGAAGCGAAAGAAGTGACTATTAAATAATAATAAATAGCATTTGTATAGCGCATATCCCTACTCGAAAGCAAGCTCTATGTGCCTTATACTATATTATTACCCCAGCAGACCATAGAACACTCCGAAACATTCTCAGCTTCCCGGGAAGCATGCAGTGCAAGCAGCTGGTTAAGCGCTCAAACACTAACAAACTGACAAGATCTCTCAGTCTATAGCTGGGTACTCATTCCCATCAGGGTGAAGTGGGAAAATTCGTGTAAAGTGCCTTTCCCAAGGACACAACGTTTCAAAACCCCGAACCCGCAACCTCACGATCACGAGTCCGGTAGCCTAACCACTAGGCCATCGACGCCACAAACTCACTTTTCACACTTTTGAGAAAAACGAGTTTTAAATTTTGACGATAAATTATATGTATTAAAATCTCTATAAAATAGTTTTAAAAAAGAAACGTTAATATCTCGATACCAAATAAAGCTATGGCTTAGACATTTACAGAGGCAAGAGAGCGGCTAAAATCTCACTACCCATATCGATTACTCCATTTCGATCAAAAGTGGATATTATAGTCACTTCTTGCGTTCAGCCATAGAGATGTTTGAGACAGGAAAGAGAGGAGCAATTCACACCAGAGCACCTGCCAAACACCCACTTCAATAAAAGGTTGTGGGGGGGGAGACCAACAGTCAGCAAGAAATCACACGTTCGAGAGACCATGCAGGCGAAGAAAAAAACTTACTTGTAAGGCATGGCGCTTGGTTATGGCCGTGTCCGTCCGTGTGTGTATCACTTGGGTCCCAGACACTCCACGGGAATACGATATATCCGACGATGATATGGAAAAACTCGTAGTACAGTCTAAAACTCGGCTTATGTCACACACACACACACACTCACACACCACAGCGCCTACATTAGCCAGCCAAGGCTTCACGTTTACTCAAAGTGCTGGTCGTCCGTTTTTCTTTTGTTTTGTTTTCCTTTTGGTTTGATGTCTCTAAAACAAACCTCCAGTCTCACAGAGTACAGTTATTAAATCGGGTAGTGCGGTTATTTTCCTGAAAGCGGTTAAGTATGTTGATGACTTTTTCAGAGGAAAAAAACCCCAACAAACCCTTTAATGTCCTATTCCACGTGAGTGAAACAAAACCAAAAAAAAAAAAAAGAAATAGTGATAATCAAACCTACCAAATCATCACCACTTATTCAACGAGACGAGACTAGCAGTATAACAGAGCCGTACATGATTAACTTGTCCAAAAACACTTGGAAGATTAAAAATCACCACGGATAAATAGTTCAAAAGTTCGAAAAAAGAGAAATCTCAACTTAATATAATTAATAATACATACTCTAGGCTAAAAACATACAATCCAAAGAACGTTTCTATTTGCTTGTGTGCAGTAATCAAAACTCAAAAAGACCGCCCCAAAAACATCAACAACCCCAAAAAAACCTATATTCAATAAAACTAGCACACATTACCCTCTTTTTGCACACCGACCCACCCACCTTTCCCCCTCATACCAACCTCCTTTTAATTTAACACAAATACCCACAAAGCAAACGAACTTAACATACAAAAAGGGACACAGCAACAACAACAGTAACAACAAAACAAACAAATGGAAACTTCAATTTAAAAACCAACAACTAACAAAACAAACTCCAAACAAACAGAATACCCAAGAATAATATCGCACTATCATATATATCTGAGAGAAATCCATTAAAACGAGTCCAACAGAAGACTAGCGATCGGCATCACAGGACAACTCTCCAGCCTGTAGATCTATATCTCCAACACGTTAATGAGAAGAACACGACGACACCCACACACTAATCGGGGGCAAAGACAGCGACTGACGACCAACGGGGAGTGAGCGAAGAACTATTGTCGTGTAGACAAGATCGCGTGAGGACGGCCCACATTATTTTCCAATCACGCTGCCAGTAGTACCAGTACGAAGACGGCGCGGGGATGATTATGACGCGCGACCCTTCATAATCAATGCACTAGTATACCATACAATATATATTGTTCTCCCGAAGAGTAGACGGATCCTTTCATTCAAATAAATTTGAACACGCGTCCTTTGATCTCTTTTCTCCTTGACATTAAATTACCCTGTACTAATTCACCCCCCTACTTATCAGCCTCGGTCTGTTTGTCTGTTCACACATCGATCTATCTGTTTATCAATTTGTCCGTCAATGTATTCTATCTATCAACGTTTTTATCTATCTACCTATCTATTTATCTACCTGACTCACATTAAACCATTTCAAAGTCCATCATCGACAACTCGCACAATTTAATGGCACGGAAAGCGAATCCCAGAAGACCACACACACAGTACAGAAGAGAGGTGTCGAACCAGACAAGGCGATTACAGTCCCTCAACTCCTTTAATAATTTGCAACCACCGAGGCAAAACAAAACAACCTAGCTGAACAGGTATCGATACTGGGTATTGTTGCAAGGTACGAGCAACCGAGATTACTCTCGTAACGTGCCGAACATTTCAGAATTTTCTGTTAAAACAATAAGTATGACATTTTAAAAAAAAGTATTCTGTCTTTTCTCTGGGAAAACGAACGCTAATTCACTCAAGATGCTCAAATGTTCAGCAGCTTTGTGCTGTTTAATGAATTGTTTGATTGAACAAAGACGGTATAAATATTATTCATATTGCTCTCGTCAAAATCATTAAGTTACTATTATTTTATTATCATTGTCCTAATAATAATAATAATAATAATGTAATCATCAAAATACTCCTTCTTGCTCCTCTTGTTCTTTTAATTCTCGTCATTAATTTTATCATCATCACCATCATCATTATCCTCACCATCATCATTATTATTGACATTGTCATAATGATTGTCAATAGTATGATCGTTACTGCCATTGTCATCATCGTAATCAATACTATGACGGTTATTATCGTACGAGTCGTTAATCTTATTAATGCCCTCGAAGGAGTATCCAGGCATTATTAGTACATTCACGTAGCTGCCAGCTTTTGTAAGACCCCTCCCCCCAAAAAAAAAAGAAACAAAGAAACAAAAGAAACAAAAAAACCCCACTCTAACCACGGTCAAGCTGGAGGATACTGACCACGTAACAACCCCCCCCCCTCCGAAACTCTAACGAACACTTCACACAGTTCTCGACATTCCATAAATTCAAGCTCTTCAAGGTAAACCTGTAGCAAAGTATCTTTCCAGTTGACATGTGGGCCTCTTTTTCAACATCATTCGCAAACACGGTCATATTTCCCGTTATGTTTCCTTCAACATCGTCAAGTTCTAACACAGAAAAGAAGATGTATTTTCCGATAGAAAAACGTACTTCCATATTCAGACCCTTAAAAACCTGTTTAATTAGTTTTAGTTTTAGTAAGTGTTTTACGGCACTTGCACCACAAACAAACACACAAAAAAACCTATTTAAAAACGTATTTTTAAAATGTAGGCTACTGGGTGGCAGCTATGAAATTAACCAGCATACAGTATTGCACTTACAAGGACTGCACCCCCAAATATATTCGGTACTCTGTCGACGTCCAAACACACTAAAATAAAATCTTTTAAACGATAAAAGTAGCTATTTTTACGCCCGCACCAACACAATTAGATAATTTAGGAAGCGGGCGTCCAACCCAGCCTGTCACTAATAGTCACTATACTACAGTGTCAGGGCCGACACGGGCTGAGAGGAGAGGGACGCAACAGACACCCCAGTAGAAAAACCGAGACATTTTAAGTACTCGATATAAAAATCCTCCCCACTCTGGAATCGAACCCGGCTCTCGGTACGGCAGGGGCAGGCGTCAGCGAGCAAAGTACATAACCGCTACACCCAAGGAGGTTACAGTAGTAGTAAGCTGCTGTCTTAAGCTCCTTGGCTACACCACAGACGTACGTCGGTTATTAACGTGACTTGTACGCACAAATAATAATTATTATTTATTACAGACATGTTGTACAAGTATTCGGTAATGTATCGACTCCACACTCCACAGACACCGCAATACTACGGCGGGGATTAG